ATATGTAAATATATACATTTCTACCCCCATATCTTGAATTTTGTGATCATTCTAAATGCATTTTAATAAACTGAATCATGCAGTGAAAGAACGCGCACTGGCCTAACTATGTGCCGATCAATGTGTGCTACACTGCTGTGCTGCGCGGAGACGTGGAGGGAGAAAGGCATCAGAACTCGACAGTCTCAATATTTCCCGACCCGACCTGATATTTAGATTTTTTATTTGTTTGATAGAGAAAGCTGTGTAAAAACAGAAACACTGTTATTGTGTGACTGTGTCCCAAGAGTGATTCTTCTTTACGTCTTCTAGTTCCCTACGGAAAATGAGGCTGTGACAATTTTCTTCCATCTTGTTATATCAATAGCAAAATGTTGTGCTTTACCCCATGAGAGGTGTAGTTCTTTCAGTTCAGCTTCTACAGTCCTCCTCCAGGTTGTTATCTGACTTCCTTGCTTCCTTTTCCCAGGTGGTCTCCAACTCATAGCTACTTTCGGGATGTGGTTCTGGTCCTTCTGAAGGACATGCCCAAGCCATTTCATTCTACAGTGCTTGATCTCCATCATCATGCTATGCAAGTAGGTCTTCTTATATAACTCAGCATTTGAGATCCTCTCTGGCCAGAAGAAATGGCAAATTCTAGTGAGGCAGTTGTTGTGGAATACCTCAATCTTCTTCATGTTACACTTGATGACATGTCAGCATTCTAACCCATACAGCAGAACAGATTTCAAATTGCTGTTGTATAGTGCCATCTCTGTTCTGAGGTTGTATTGTGCAGATATACTTCAAGCTGGTGGGAGAAAGTCCACTGTATGCCTCTAGGTTTGTCTGATGTTGTCTGTCTCATGATCTAATCAATAACTACCAGGAACAGGATTGGTGAGAGGATGCATTCTTGTCATACCCACTGACTTCACTACATACCACTCAGATGTAGGATGACACAACACTCAAACTTTTAGATAGTTCAATCAATGTGTCCATCTTTTGAGGGATTCCGTAGGCACACAGGATCTTCCATAAGGTGTCACGTTGTAGGCTATCGAAGGCCTTTTTGAAGTTAAGTTGATGTATAGGGGAGCATTCCACTCCCAACATTGCTCAATTATGTTTCTTAGGGCAAAAATCTGGTCTACACAACTTCTTTCCTTCCTTAAACCAACTTGCCCTGGTCTCACCCTATGGTCAAGAGCTACTTCAATTTTGGTCAGGAAGATTCTGCTAAATACTTTTGATGGTATTGAAAGTAGTGTGATGCCCCACCAGTTATCACAGTTTTGGAGGTTGCCCTTCTTGGAAAGCTTGATAATGAGACCTTTGGACCAGTCTTCGGGGATGATGTCTTTCTTCCAGATGTTCTTGAACAGGTCAGTGAGCATTCTGGTAGATGCTTAAAGATCTGCATTTCAGGACGGATGGGGTCAATACCAGCTGCCTTTCCATTCTTGAGTGCTTTGATGGCATGTCTGAGTTTAGCTTCAATTGGGGGACTGATGTAAATGTTCAGAAAATCTGCTGCTGCTAGATGGTTGGCGGGCTCTACTGGTTCAGGTCTGTTGAGTCCTTCATGAAAGTGTTGTACTCGTCTGCTGGCTTGCTCGTGCACATTTGAGAGGGTGTTGCCATTCTTGTCTTTAATTGGGGCAGACTGGCCTTTGTTACCACCTCTCAGCTGTTTAGTGATCTTATATACAGCGCTGAATCACCTCTCTCTGTGTCGTGTTCAGCCTGGCTAGCCATCTCCTCTATAAAGGTTATTTTTTCCTTCCTGGTGCTCTTCTTCACCTCCTTATCTTTGGACTTGTATGCTCTGTGGACTTGCTCTTGAAGACTTGGTGACTTAGTGCTGAGCATTTTGGCTTTAAATTGTTTCCTTTCTTCTATTTTTCCAAGTGCCAGGTATTAACCACTCCTTGTGTTTTCTCTTCCTGTAGCCTAATCTCAATACATGTATCAACGTAGGTCTTCTTGATGGCTTTCCACTTGATGTCAATGCCTGGCTGCCTTTTTGTTGTGTCATCTAAAGGGCTTTTCACACTGAGGGCTACACAAAAAAGCAAAGCGAATCGCCAATGAATAGTGCTTTCACACCAAACACGAAACGATGGATCACCTTCGGCTAATTTACACTTGTATGATAGATGGCACAGACTGAGAATGCATTTACTCACCACTCAGCTGATCATCCTATTGTCTTTGACCACTGAGAAGGAGAATCACTTAAATGTTGGTGCATAGCACACACCAAGAAGCCAAGGCCTGGTTCTATGGGTGTGCTAAGCAACAACCAAGAGCACACTCAGTTGAAGCTGTAATATAGCATATTGGTGAAACAGATTTGGCAAACGCTTGAGTGTGTATTTGTATTCACGCTCTGTGGTGCACCAAAGGTTTCTATTTACAACGTGTTTTTGCAGCATTGAATAAAGTAGCCAATCACATATTTATTTGTTGATTTCACAAACGCAATGTCCAATCAGAGGTATTTAAGTTAGACTGGAATTCACTCACCGCTCAAAATGCTACGTGTACACGTGATGTAAATAAGAGATTCCTCTATTATTTTGGAGCTTTGTGAAATCTTGATGAACTGACAGGTTTTTAGTGATTATAAAGGGAGTGCTCTTTGCACACTTTCTAGGCTATGTATAATCCATTTTGTTTTTCAGACATATTCACTGCAAAGTTTCAAGAATGACATCTACATATTTATGCAGGATTCCCTCTTGAAATAGCAATGATTGACATAGCGATATCCATAGCAATGGACGGGTCAAAAATATGTCAAAATAGATGTGCATTAAGACTAGAGCACACTCACTAATTCAGAAGAACCCTCAGTGATTTAATTCTAGAAGCACAGAAAAAGAAAGAAAATGGATTTCTCTACCAGCAGCAGTGAGGACGAGTTTTTGTTTTTAAATCAGGAAAGGAAAAGAATAAGACAGCATTTTTTGATACACCTTATTCTTGAGAAAAGAGAAGAGCATGGGGAGTTCCGTAGACTGACGGTGAGTGCCTTATCATTCTATTTGCCTTAGAAAATGCAACAAAGTAGTATGCTGTGTTTAAAGAATATAATTTTTCTGAATGGTGTTTCTGATATAACACCACCAATGTTGCCCTTTTGTGCAACAGCAGCACCTCCAGGAACATAATCTAAAGTTCAAATATAATTGGACAGCTTGTTTAATCCTGGTGCGACGGGGAAAAAATTGACACACTGGTCAAAAAAAAAATCTCACATTGTCATGCCACAATTGATCACGCCTGGTGTGAATAACATTTTTATTTAAACATTTTTATTCAAGAACATCATCGTACATTCGCGTCAATTAATCACGCTCAGTGTGAAAGGCCCTCCAGACACTAAAATGGTTCCTCAATTCCAGTACAAAGTTCCCTGTAGGTTTGAGGAAATTTGATCTTCGCAGCATCTAGCTTTACGTCGCTGACTTTCCTCTTTCACATTGTGAAGTTTGAGTTTGATAGTAGGCTACTTTTCACAGGGTAGTGGTCACTGCTGACATCTGCATCTCAACACTCTCTGTCATTTTGGAAGGACCACTTTCCATTGATCAGGATGTGGTCAATCGTGTTACCATCAGCTGATTTCCATGTCAGCTTGGGGATGTCCTTTTGTTGATGGCGCATCTGACCACTAGGTTGTTGTCCAAGCCGAAGTCAACAAGTCTGCTGCCATTGTCATTTATCTCCCCACAGCCTTGGCTTCCCATAGCTCTATATAATAGTTAGTTTTGTCAGCTCCAGCCTTAGTATTCCTGTTGCCGATAAACATGATGAGGGACTTTAAAGACTGTGTGTTGTATTTCATACCAGTTAATTTTGTCCTTCTCCTTAGCTTCATTTGTTGCATATTGGTAAATTGCAATGCTTTGCCATGCCTGAGACCAATCTGGTATGGCTGAACCTGCCAGGGACCTGAGTCCCCCCCCCACACCCTGCATTTGGTACATAAATAGTACATAACTGAATACAGACATGTACAATATGACAGTAATTTATGAATACACCCCAAATTCTATCGGCATACACAGAAGTCTACTGATCCGATTACAACTCTTTTTATGCAGAGCTTGTTGTCGCCCAATAAATAAGTAACTCAAGACTTTTTGTGTATCCTTGGTCTCTATATCATGAAGAGAACATTCTCCAACAGAATGCAAAAAAACGATAAATTGTACCCTTGTACCTGTAAAAGTACCCTTATGAAAATTATCCATGTTTTTACTATAGTAAAAGTGTAGTAACCATGGTTTTTAGGTGTATTGATTACCATTTGTATAATCACAGTTTTAGCCTACTACAAATACCTTAAACTATGGTTAGTGTAGCAAATCCATTGTTAATTTGTGGTTACCATAGTTTAACTATGGTAACCATGGTTTTTATGGTTTATTTGTAGTAAAACCATGGTTAACTTTCGTAAGGGTATCTCCGGCACTGTTAATGGTATGGACTGCCTGTGCTAGCCGTGGTCTGGTAGCTTATCTACGATGTACAACGCGGTCCGCACTACTATCCAGTTGGTGGCGGTAATGCACCTAAGCTGGTTTGCCAACCGCTAATAAACCATAGAAGAAAAAAAAGACTAAGCAGAGAGTTTGAAGCTTTGAATTTTGTATTTATTTATTTATTAAATCCCCCCCGCCTTTTTATCTATAATAGTTGAAGAGTTCATAGCTGAACCGTGTACGTTTCACACTCCAGACCAGTATTTATTGTTATTTGTTTATATATATATATATATATATATATATATATATATATATATATATATATACACATTTTTTTAATTATTATTAATTAATTAATTTATTAATTTATTAATTAATTTATTTAGCCACTAAAATTATGTCATAGCCTCAGACCCCAATACTGCTTGCAGCTTAAGTATATCTGCATTTACACATCGCCATCTTATGTAACTGACCTATCAATACCATTTGTGCCCTTGAAAAAAAAAAAAAAAAAAACAGAGAAGAAGCAGCCGCAATAGAAGAAGAAGAGTGTAGAGAAGTGAAATGTGTTTTTCAAAAATCTGTTCGCTGGAAGTAAATTAAACGTTGGATTAAAAGGAAACTGCTTTTTTAAAAACAATATTTCCAAGACCCAGTAATAAAGACGGTTCAGGTATGTGATCTGTTTTTTCCCACAGGAAGGTCACAGGAAATCATCAATAACTCTTAAGTGAAACAATAATGAAAATGAAAGGAAATTGCGCTAACTCATCACCATACTAAGAGCGAATTGACAAAGTTGCGTACTCCGCGTGTCGGAATCGGCGGTACTGTGTAATTATTATTATTATTTAATCTAATACATGTTCTGTACAGAAGTTCGTAGTATTTCAATACACACTATTTTTTTTATACAGTGGAGAGATAATTAGGCGCAAATTTTACCATGGAACTAGCACGGAGTGATTATTGAATGCTTTCAGAACGGAGGCACTCACATAAGGCCTGTCTCAATACCCACACTTTGCACTTGACCACCTGTCTAATTACATGACATATTTCCTGTATTTGGACCAAGTGTTCGAGTGGGCGTGAAGAGCGTGTACAACTTTTGATTACCCGATTGGACACACTATATCAGAATTGTATATATGCAAGTAACGTTTACACAGAGCTTTATTTACACATTCAAACCCATATTCAATACTCAAGTTAAAAGTCAAGTAAATGGCTCCTTAGAACCCCCTAGATTTGTAATAATACTGATTTTATTGTTTTTATTTTGCAGGTGAATGTAAGAAGATGGTATTGAAAGAGATTCCAGCAGACAATATCACTAGCCCTTTGGGCCGGAACGAGGTCATAGGTTTACTCTTTCGCCTCACAATATTTGGTGCCGTCACCTATTTTACAATAAAGTGGATGGTGGATGCTATTGATCCAACAAGAAAACAGAAAGTTGAGGCACAAAAACGGGTACGCAGTTTACAGGATGAGTTACTTGATAGTTTTGGAAGGTTGGGTGAGTTCTGTCAGTTATCAGTACACAATTTCTTGTAAGTGTAATATACAGATATTTTTTGTCCTGCTCCGCTCTAAAATATTCTGTTATGTAGAAATTGTGATTGTAGAACGTTTTTAAATGTACCCCTTTTTATGTGTTTACTACTTTATCCTATATAGTCCTATCCCCTTTTCATGTAGACTAAACATTCTAAGGTCATTATATTGTATTTTTTCCCATTATTTGCCACAAGTTAGGAAGCCTTACTAAGTTGAACTTTTGACAAAGCATAGCTTCACCAAAGGCTGGAGTTTAATGTAAAGTTTTGTTGCCGCCTCACAGGCAGAGAAACTCATGCGGCAGATTGGAGTGCAGAATGTGAAGCTTTCTGAATATGAGATGAGCATTGCAGCTCATCTTGTGGATCCACTGACTATGCAGGCGAGGAATTATATCACCATCTGACTTTATTTACCAGTCCTTAATTGTCTAGTCTACTTGTATGTTTTAAATGATTATGCGAGTTACACAAATCATTTATGTGTGTCCACAGATTACATGGCATGACATTGCAGGTCTGGATGAAGTCATAACTGAACTGAAAGACACGGTTATACTTCCGATCCAGAAGAGACATCTGTTTGAAGGATCCAGGCTTCTTCAGCCACCCAAAGGTAAGCATTAGATGGAAATATTTCCATAAAGTGTTTCTAAACTGAACTCCACACATTATTCTGAGGTGGTTTGCTTGTCATCTTCCCAGGTGTGTTGCTGTATGGGCCTCCAGGCTGTGGGAAAACTCTTATAGCCAAAGCTACTGCCAAAGAGGCTGGATTCCGCTTCATTAACCTGCAGCCTTCCACTCTCACTGACAAATGGTACGGAGAATCCCAGAAACTAGCTGCAGCTGTCTTTTCACTGGCCATCAAGCTACAGCCCTCTATTATCTTCATCGATGAGATCGGTAAATGCATATTTACATTTTTATGTGTCCCTCATACACCCCTTAATATTGATATACCAGTAGTTATTAATTTTACCCTTTGCTTTCAAAGGTAGATCTGTTCAGCTTCATTGCACATTTATGGATCACTGGAAATCTACTTTTGAATCTTAATTGGTATATTTTACTCCTTTAAAGTCACATAATATGGCAATACAATTCTGGATATTTGTCATTAGGGTTTTTCACACCTGAAATAGTTAACCCTTGGTCATTCTAGTTTCACACAACTCATAATTTTTTTTTTGTGTTCCTGTGGCTCAGTGGTAGAGCATTGTGTTAGCAGCGCAAAAAGTCGTGGGTTCAATTCCCAGGGAACACACATACTGGTAAAAAATGTATAGCCTGAATGTACTTTAAGTCGCTTTGGATAAAAGCGTCTGCTAAATGCATAAATTATTATTTTAATTAATTATTATTATAATTTACCCGTTGTTAACAATTAACCCTGGGTAGTCATAAGATGACATTTCAATCTGTACATTCCTAAACCCCGAGTTAATGTTCTTATTTGCATATTTGCGGTGTCAATGTTATTGATTAGACGAATGCAGCACACTAGGTCTTTACATAATAGCTCTAGCATTGTGCATCCTTATATGTGACCCTGGAGCACAAAACCAGTCTTAAGTTGCTGGGGTATATTTGTAGCAATAGCCAAAAATACATTGTATGGGTCACAATGATTGATTTTTCTATTATTAAATTAAATTATTATTAAATTCCTACCGTAAATATATCAAAACCTAATTTTTGATTAGTAATATGCATTGCTAAGAACTTAATTTGGACAACTTTAAAGAGGATTTTCTCAATATTTTGATTTTTTTGCACCCTCAGATTTCAGATTTTCAAATAGTTGTATCTCAGCCAAATATTGTCCTATCCTAACAAACCATACATCAAAGGAAAGCTTATTTATTAAACTTTCAGATGATGTATACATCTCAATTTCGAGAAATTTACCCTTATGACTGGTTTTGTGGTCCAGGGTCACACATTATATATTGATGACAGTACTATCAAGTTTTCCAGAATAGACTTTTCAAACTATAAGAGAAAGAAAGAAAGGTCTCTTCTTTAATCTAAAGTGCTGTGTTTCTGTGACTGTCCAAAGCATGTGAAAATGAGGTACGCGATTGGTTGTCGGTTGCTAAGGGTCTAGCTGTAGCATTCTAACACCATATTTTGATTCTTACTGTACAAATTTGGCACTGCAATGCAGGAGCAGGGTTTCATTACCCCAGGTAAAAAGCAGTGCTTATCCCGCTTATAAATTACTAGTGTGAAACGTACCATTACCTGGGGTTAAAAGCAGGGTTTAGAACAACGATAACCCAGGGTTAAGTGCAGTGTGAAAACCCTTCTTTCAAAGTAATTTCTATTCAACTTCATGTCTTAGATTCCTTTTTGAGGAGTCGCTCAAGTTCAGATCATGAGGCCACCGCTATGATGAAGGCTCAGTTCATGAGCTTATGGGATGGACTGGATACTGACTACAACTGCCAGGTACTTTTCAGCATCTTTTTACTTTTTTTAGTGATTACTGATTTGATCAGTGATTCAAGATGCAATTAGTCTCCTCTTTTGATGTGTTGTGATTGTTTTCTGCACAAAGGTCATAATAATGGGAGCCACCAATCGGCCACAAGATCTTGATTCTGCTATACTCCGAAGGATGCCCACAAGATTCCACGTCAATCAGCCTGTAAGTCCCTTGAAATTAGCTCAAAATATGTTTATATGGTTTAAATGAATTTTTAAACGTTTACTATTGAATCATTAAACTCTGTAGTGCTTTTGATAAATTATTAATTTGTCGTGTATTTAGAATGTCAAGCAGAGGAACGACATATTGAAACTGATCCTGGAGAATGAGAATGTAAGTATTTTATTAATTGAACTGTATGGTTATTGAAAGTTGCAAGTGCTGAAAGGGTCACTTTTCCTTTTCTGAAGGTGGAGTCTGCTGTGGACTTTGGTGAAATTGCAAAACAGACCGACGGGTTCTCAGGAAGTGACCTCAGAGAGATGTGCCGAGACGCTGCTCTGCTTTGTGTGCGTGACTTTGTGCACCAAGAAAGGTAAACTCTTAACAAAGGGCTTCAGACTCAGCACAGAACATATCAGGCTTTTTTTTTTTCATCTTTAAGTTTGGGGCTCTGTTTTACTCATTTACATAACGTCTAGCATAAACAGTTTCAATTTGAATCATTGTGAAACTGATCTGAGGCGCTCCCTTGTTAATTCTCCTCCATCCCATGACAGTCCAGATGAAGACTTCATCCGTCCCATCAGGCAGGAAGACTTGCAGAGGGCAATTGGGAAGATGAGGAAGTCCAAATCTGCAGGAGTGCAAGAGGTGTTTATGCATGTACCTCTGGACTGAAATGTGATGCTGCTGTTTTAAAAGAACAAGAACCTAGATTTGGTCTGTTTTTCTTATTTGTGGCATATCGTCATGTTTTGCAAGAGGGGGAACTCAGGATTTATAAATGGTGGAATGGAGTTTTTTTTTCTTTCTCTAATCATGTTTTTTTTTTGCACTGTAATTTCCATACTGTATTTGCCACTCAATCAGTTAGCCTTATTTTAAAAAAATCATGCGTACAACCATTCTTAAGTAAATTGTCGCTTAAATGGGACCGTTTATGAAAGAATGAACGATTTACCTGAAATTCATTTTGTTTGTGTTCAAAAATAAGGCCCATTGTGTTTGTCTTCATAGGTTTGGTTTGTGTGGTTTTGCTTGTTCTATAAAACCCTGTGAGAGGTTTGTGAAGATGGGAAAGTGTAGTTACTATTTCCAGTTATGTATAAGGCACGTACTTTCGCCAGCAATAATTATTTGTTATAATCCCAACAATATGTAACAATTCAGCTGATTTGTGAGCACAAAAAACAAAGTGTGTTCATTAACAGTTTTAACTCAGAACACCTTTTTTCCCCCAGCGAGTGAATGATTTGATTGAGGTGCATTTACAGATTTATAAGCCATTTATATTGAATAAAATGTTTAAGCTTTTAATTTAGCCCAGAGTAGAGGTTATGTGATGACCTGTTGTATAGATATTTATTTGCAAAACATTTAATATGCTTGCACAGAATATTTGGGGCCAGTGCCAAGCCACTACTTCTATGCATGTACTCATCTGTCAGGTGTTATTTTTGGGGTTCGAGTGGGCAAAGGAGACTTGAAAATGGAAAGAAAAATTATTCTTTTGGAGAAACCTGTCTATGGATTGCCAGCAATACAATGAACAACTGTATGCAAGAATTTTTCAGTTACTAGGTTTCCTAGTTTACAATAGTCCACTGCTCTCTTCAGTCTAAATGTGCTTAGAAGTCAGAATATATTTGAAATGTTTTGTTTACACTGTAGAAAAATTGGATGGCAATGGTTTTGTCTTAATGAAGTTTATTGGAATGACTGCCCAATGCACATTACATCAAATATTGTAAGAAATTACAGTGTAAATCTCACAAGTTTGTACAAAAAGTAGAACGAAGTAAATACATTTCCTGTAAGATAATAAATATGTTTAGGTTGGTCCGCTGAGAAAATGGAAAGACAATGAATATGCTCTTGTTCCTTCACATTGGATTCCTCAAGAGTTTCATGTTTATGCATTCAGCACAAATCTTTCACATTCATACATCGCTCTTTACAGTAACTCATTCATTTGGGAATGTAAAAATAATGCACATTTACATTAAGGCACATGGACGTACACTGCAAGACAATATTGTGTTAATGTCAAAGACATCTGACTGTGGTTATACTCCGCTGCCAGTACTGAACATTTTTAAATTCTTATAAAGAATGTTATAGAATTAATCTGCCTCTTCAATGAGTACAAGATGTTCTCCACTGATGGAAATACTGCCAAGACAAACACTTATCCAAATAAAGCTCCAGTTGAGGTAGGTGAAATATTGGTCCTATTACCGTCAGGCATACTTCGAACTGCTCGATCAGACTATAAGTCTACAACACACCTGATACAGCAGTAGCTGTGTAGTTTGATCCATCTACAGGGTGATTTCAGGAAACAAAATATACTGTATTTTAAAGTAATTTGCAGGGCATAAATATAGATAGCATTTATCTAAGAATGTGTTGTAGAAATGAGTCTAATATAGATTTATTATTACTACAATGTAGGACTGGAATACATGATGCATCTTTCTATAAATCTATTTCTATCAGTTCTAATGAAATAGATTAAATAGAGCTTTACTGTATGTCTGCATATAGTCCAGTGCCTTGTGTTCACTGGTCCTTCTGCAGAGAACTGTAATACTCAGCTAGGACTTTCCAGGCTTTGGGGGCCATGAAACCATCGGGGGGGTTCTCCCCGCTGCGGGCAAGGCTCCGCATTTTGGTCCCTGAGATGAACTCAAATTCACCATGTCTGAAAAACAGAAATGCAGCTGACTTGAACTTCAGTTTCAGTAACAGTTCCTGGTCAAGCAGCTGTGAGCTGTGAGCTGTGATCAATTCTGGTCAAGATGAGCAAGATACGGTATATACAAATGTCTATAAATATCAATAGTGTAGTGATCTGCATGAAAAATAATGCATAAATGAGCTTCAAAATAAATAAAACAGCAGACAGAGAGGAACATTATTAGGTGTTATAAATAAAGCTAAATGTGACATTCATTATAATGTTTTTTTGTGACAATTGTAATAGGAATATTTTTAATTAAAAAAAAATATATATATATATATATATATATATATATTTTTTTTTTTA